TCCCAAAGTGCACGAACTTTCCTCAAATGAGTGCACTTTGGAAGTTTAGCTTATACAGTTCACATCTGTGGAGTACACAACGTTACCATGATTGAATAAAGAAGTCTCGTACACATTCAGACAGACTCAATGGCGCGGTCTTGAGCGCAATGACCTCTCAGCCAGCCATCAATCGATCCTTCGTTGTGTTGGAATCACTAAACAGTGACGGACAAGGCAACACAAATAAACGTTCTCCTCGCTTTACGTCTGTTTCCTCTATAACATTGAGCGGATTTTGTTTGGGGGGATTACTGAGGATGAGTCAAGGCTTATACGTATGGCATTCCACTGGTTGATCTGATTGCTTAGTTTAGACTACACACCGGACACGATTGCCTGGCAAAACACCTTCACAGATTAATCAAAACACCTTCACAGATTGAGAGTATACACTCAACCCACATACTCTATGTAACCTACAGGAGGAAATGGAGAAGTCCCACCTGTCTATGTGACCTACAGGAGGAAACGGAGAAGACCCACCATATGTAACCTACATGAGGAAATGGAGAAGACCCATCTGATCTGTAACCTACAGGAGGAAATGGAGAAGACCCACCTGATGTGAAACCTACAGGAGGAAATGGAGAAGACCCATCTGATTCTCTACAGGAGAAAATGGAGAAGACCCACCTGATTCGGTGTTCAAAGGAGGAAATGGAGAAGACCCACCTGATTCGGTGTCTAGCGATCAACCCACATGCCCTCTATGTAACCTACAGGAGGAAATCCCAACATGCCCCCTATGTAAGCCTCAGGAGGAAATCCAGAAGACCCACTTGATTCGGTGTCTAACCCTAAAGACAACGACGGAAAGCCAGAGATACTGGGAAGCCAGAAGACAGCTAATGAACTGCTCGTGTCATTGGCAATACTCTAATCTACCTTTTAGAAGTGATTCGATTGGTACAAATAGCTATTTAGATAATAATCTTTATTTTCTTAATTTATCTTAATTTTTCCCCAAGAAGTGGTTTATTAGCCCCTCGAGTGCAAAAATTCCTCTTGCAGTAGAGTGTTTGATTAAATATAATTTGAAAATTGACGACTCTGAATCGATGCTGACCTCTACTAATAATGACGTCAATGATTGTGTTATGCCAAGTAATCGTGTTTCCTCTAGATTCAATTACGATCTGCAACGTGCTCTATTTAGGCTCAAATTTACAAACGCCACTGTGTTAGTGATCCCATTCAGTTCAAAGTTAAAATGGCCTACTCGCATAAATTTTGGAAATCATGAAGGCTAATTAAAATCAGTCGCAAATTCCAGTAAGAAATAGATCAACTTTTCACTGCGGAGTTTTTTATAGTCCTGATCACACGTATTTACTCTACTTGAACCCAGTCCAAAAGTTGGCGCTTTCTACACTCCTCGCATAATTAGACGACCGAATTGATTGCATTTTGATAGGACTCCTTTCAACATTAGTTATTTATTTATCTCAAATGGCAGGCGTTTTGAAAGTTATCATTAGCCCTTTAGCTGACTTCGGGCTTCACAGAGGGGGGGAGGAGGAACAATAAAGTGACAAAATGTCGAGCGTTGGGGGGGGGGGGGACAGAATAATGATTAACAGATGTGAAAGAGACAGATACACAAAGGCAGAGAAAAGGTAAGATGAGTACTGTTGTAGGGGTCGAATATGACATAAAGTGAGGTGATGGTAGTTTGAAGTCAGAAGTCAACTGCCAGTTAATAGACATTTTTGCCGCATGAGTTTACGTTGCCCAGGGTGCACCACGTGGAGGTAAGTCTACTGCACACTCCAACTTCCTTCAACATAGTAGCAAAGTTGGTTGTTGATTGTAGAAGAGATTGAGTGTAAACAATGAGTTTAGATTTAATTAATTAAATCAAATGACAGCATGGTTTTTTTACGCTAATAGCTGAATGTTCTTTTGGGGGTCGGGTTAAGGATTAATTTGCCTCATCATGACATTTTTCCCTTTTAAGACTAGTAGATTGTTATTTAGGGTCAATCTAGTTAAAACACGTGCCTTCTCTAAATATTTATTTATATCAAATGACAGACAGGCATAAAGGCAGAGAAAAGGTAAGGTAAGGTGAGTACTGTGAAGTGGTCGAATATGACATACAGTGGGGGGTGATGGTAGTTTGAAGTCAGAAGTCCACTGCCGGTTTATAAACTCTTTTTCCGTGAGTATACGTTGCCCAGGGTGCACCACGTAGAGGTAGGTCTATCACACACCCCATAAACGTATTATTAATAGTGTTATTTCCCACTTTGATTGACGCGAAGTTGGTCTTGTTCTAATGACGTTCTCTCACTCAGATATTTGTATTTTTTCTCAGTTAACGTGCTTTTTAATGCGAATTTCCTGCAAAGAATGGAAGTGACCACCGTTTGTTGATGGAGCCTTTTGACTTTCCGTGATCTAGCTAACCAAAGTCAATCGTTATGCTAGTAGCTGGACTTTGTGAGCATCCCTTTGACGGTAGAAAAAGAGATGTTTAGAAAATGCCAATGATTTTCAACTTGCCGCTCTAAACAACATTCGCATCGGAGACAAGGCAGTGGCAAATGATGATGAAGAAAACATCACACATTCTATTCTCAATGCAAAATAAGTAAATCCTTCACGAAAATGTATCTGAGTGGTCATGGAAGCTCACTGAAAATAATTGTATTGTCATTAAAATCGATTTACCAATTATGCTTCGCAGTAACTGGAGTTACTAATGTAAGTAATGCCGTTGTTAACAAGGAGGTAATATGTCGGTGCTATCTTGGAGGTATTGCTTGTTGGTTCAAGATAACTTGAAAATGTGTAAAAAGTGCTCATCCATTAACAAGAGGCAAGATTATTTTTATTTCCTGTCTCTTAGGGTGTATTTCTTTCTGATCTATAGCCATTTCTACCTTTTTGCTTTGTCACCCTTTTGACACTCGTGTGGAGGATGATGTTGTCGTCACAAAACTGGATGAAGATTTGTGTTGTACTTCACTTATCAAGGCCACGCGAATTGTCTGCATATCTTTGTCCCTTAGTAATAAAAAAGGAGTCTTAGCAATTGGGCTTTTATCTACTGTAATGGCATTCCCACCATTTGCTCAGTGAGCATTAAATAAATACATCACTATTTCGGAGTCAAAAATTGCTCACCACATATTTCTCATCACTTCGTCACCATAATAATAACAGCATTGGCTATATTTTTGCATTTGGTTGTTGTAAATTAAAGCTCCCCGGTGAACAGTCTGCAGAATATAATTTTTTTTTTGTTTCTAGTTGGAAAATCTCTTTTGCATGGGCTCCCCACTGGCAGTCTACCTCACATTGCGAGGGGTTCGACCGGGCCAAACAGGGGCTCCGGACGCTATTATGTCGAGGTCAAAGTGTCCTCATATTTACAATGTCTTCCATCCTTCTGATCCCGTGGTAAGTGCATGTTGGTTATCTTGCTTGTCCCGAAAGCCGAAGGACTATTCACTTTGACATATTTACTAATGTATAGTAATTGAAGAGTTGTTAGGAGTTAGCACTAGAAGCCTACAATATATGCCTACATCCCAGGTTATATTTCTCCTGACTCATTTTAGGGGTTACCATTAATTTCTAAGACAACACCACTCTGAAGTAGAAGTTGTTTTTTTATCAATAACATGAGATCTCTAACGCTTCTTCAACACCTTTCTTTGCCAACTCCCACTGGCTCTGAAATTAAGTTTGCTTTGCTCTCGATTTTAAAGACATTCGGACAGTTTTTTTGTATTTTTCAAAACTTCTAATTAGTTGATTTAGCACATATTTCTGTTTCTTTATGGTCGTTATTGCTACTTGAACCTACGATCTTTGGTTCCTATTGACTTATTCTTTTTAGTCTCATTGTTTGCAGATTCTAGTGTTAGTGATAGGAAATGGGGCATTTTCATCGCTCCCAGCTCCGTTGTGCTAAAACGTAGGGCCAAAACCCCCAGCTATAGCTAAACAACCGGTCAATAAGGGTGAAATTTAACTTCTTGTAGTGTTTACCTATTTAGTAAGTAAATATAGTATAACCGCAATCAACAAAGGAATGAAGTAAGTTACCTTGACTTTATCCCGAGCCCTCCCCCCCCCCCAAACAAGCCCACCCTCTCCTCCTGCATCGTTTGT